CAGGGGTTTTGACATTTCGTACTCGCCTTGTGGTTGTTTTAGCCTTTCCGGTATTAGAATCGTCTTCATTTGCGTCATCTCGTGCATTATTCGTTTTAGTGGTAGAATTTGAATCAATTTGCACGACAGGATAATCACTATCCGATGAATTATTATTGGCCTTTCGCACACGTTTGCGAGTTGTCGCGGGTTTGGTTTTTTCTTCAGAAGTGGCCTTATTATCGTTGTCATCTTTATCATTGGCGATACCATTACCGATATTATCATTGTTGGTATTATTAATAGCATTATTAGTAGGTGATTTTTTGGTCTGTTTACGCGTTTTTTTCCCAACCCCTTTGCTTGTTTTCTCATCAGATGAGTGATCCATCTTAGTAACCTCCGTGACATGATTATCATTCAAGGATTCTTTAATCTTGCGACCGCGTTTCTTAATTGGTATCGCTTTTTCCGCGGATTCTTTTTCTGTTCCACCCTCATTATTTTCAACTACGTCATCTTTAGCATCCACCTTCTTAGCGTCATTGTCAACAACCGAAGGAGCAGCAACATCGGCAGCTTTGTTCGCTTTCAACTCTTTCGATTGATTAGCAGGCGTCCTTTTTCGAAGTTGACGACCTATTTTCTGGGCTGACTCAGCTTCTTTTGCATTCACCTGAGCTTTCGTGGTTCCAGCCTTATTTTCAACGTCCTTCATTTCAACGTCAGTCGAAGCACTTGCCACTGCTGTATCACTCTTATTTGAAATATTTGCTTCGGTCGCCGTAGTTGAATCGTTAACATTCCCGGGAAAATATTCTGATTCTGCAAGTTTGGATTTATTTTCGATAGACTTAACCACCCAGTCCCAAGTCACTATATGCGTTCCATCCCCTTGCTTTTGAGCATTCTTAACCTTGGAACTAGGTTTGTCAACGTGATCCTTGGTGGTCACTAGGTGAGTAGTTGTCTTGTTCACACCAGAGACTACTTCACCACCGTTTTCTCGTACCAGTTCGCCTAGGTGAGTGTGAGTACCCGCCTTAAAATTACCGGAGAAGGCTACTACGCAACCGTTAAAATAATTGGTTCGCTTTGCCATTTGTAAAATGTAATAGAATTATCAAGAATTTTAATATTCAAAGAAGTGGGTGGGAAAAAGGAGAAAACGCGTCGTAATTTTATAGATCTATTGGGCGTAAAATTACTGCGGTCCCTTCCCATTTGATCTTCAGCCGCATTCCAATCCAAGCGGTGGATTTTCGTAATTAAAACTCCATCTTGACTAATCATGCATATCGATGAAGATTGCGCAAATCTGCGGATGGGTTTTTGATTACGCAAATCTGCGGATGGATTTTTGATTACGCAAGTCTGGCGTAATGTTATCATGTTTCAATTGTTTCTTCATATCATATTAAGTAATCGGGTTTTTTGATCTATTATTAGAATAAAAAACTACAATAGGACGATTTGATCCTAATTGATTTTTTATTGCAATGTGGGAATCCACCGTGCTGAAACAGGATTAGATACCAATTTTTTTATTTTTTAGTACACATATGAATTCCAGAGATTCCACGGTTTCAAGAAAAGAAAACAGTCTCGTCCAAAGATAAATACAAACCGAACTTTAACATTTTAATGGTATATATTGGCTAATTAGGATAAGGCCAGAAATTTTAAATGGATTCCCATTAAAACGTGCGTGACCAATCCAATCCCTTGATGATCTGACAAATCTAATTTGGCGCACGATAAAAAAATTGTTGGGGACAAAATCTTATGTAATCTGATCTCCAATCTTATTAAAATAGAATTTGTGAATCAGGTGAGCAATAACAGGTTTCATCACCAGTAGCTTGAGCAACTAGAATTTTTTTATTCACGATATTTTTTGAGCAAAACTTGTATCTAATATTTCTCTAAGATTGTTTTTATAACGATACTAACTCTCAAAAACTTTCAGTGTTTATCTCAGATCCATTATTAGCGTTGCCTTGGTCAGACGCGCATACATAGGCACTCTCGATATAATGAACCCCTCCGAATTGTTTGAAAAGCTACCATAAAAATTGGGCTCATTTATTAATGATAATCGTTACGTCATTGAACTGATTCGCGGACCAGATTTGGTTAGTGAATCCACATAATGGGACTTGCAGGTTACAGGACCAAGACCAATCCGGTTCAAGATTTTCATGTAATTTTTAAAAAAGCGCATATACGGAAATTTTTTTACAAAAATCTAAAAAATGTATATATTTTAATTTAAAGATGAAATATCAATGATTCACACTCGCTAAAGAAACCATCAATTAAATATTATAGAATATAGTTAATTATCTCCGTTTCTCCTCTCTTTGTAATCTAAATAGGTAAAAAAAAAAGAAATATTGAATAATTGATAATTAATATAATTAATGAATGTATAAAAAAAGAAAAAGACTCACCTTTCACGAGAATAAATTGCTCCTTGACTGCTCAAACGTGACGAATTTGCTTCTATTCGAGATTCTAATCTCCGATATGGGAGAAATCTTTCATTGCTGTTTTGGCGTCTTTCTACGCCAGCAAGCCGAACAGAAGACACACTTGTTACGGAATTCCTGACAACTGTAGAGTGAACTGTGCTGCCATTTGAACCTGCTCCTCGTGCAAAAGTCGATGAATGAGTGATGGTTGTAGACCCACTTCTTGAAGTAGTAGCAACCGCTGAAGTTCGAAAAGGCCTATCAATCCTCGGGGTACTGTCAAATAACTTTCGTATTATCGACTTTTGTTGTCGGCCTATTAGTCATAAAAAATTATATTGATGAATAAAGTGAAAAATTGAATCTTTAATAGCCATTCACATACTACTCCTGTTTCTAGGTAAAGGCATAACTGGCAACACTTTAATCTTCTTTTTTTCCTTCTTTGCCTCCTCCTTCGCATATCTATATAATGAAATTGGTTAAATTAAGAGTTAATCAGTAATGTAAATTTAATGAGATTATTTAATTACCGCTTTCGCGTATTCTCGACCAAAATCTGAATCCTCCGCTCGTCTTCTTCCTCCTTTGTTTTTCGTTCCTTGTCTAACTCCTAAATATTAATAAAATTGGATATAATATTAAAAAAATCATAAATAAAATACAAATATTCTTTACCCAATATAATTTCTCATGGTTATATAACTCCTCCCTGATCCTTTTATCTGCCAAATAATCACTTCGAAACTCTCTTAAGCAGAGATCTCGCCACAATCCTAAAAAAGTTAAGTTAGAATCAAACAGAAATAAAGCAAAATAAAATGTAAGTATTATCTTACCATTCGAGACTTCTGCTAACTCCTAATTAAAATATGAGCAAAATGCAGATAACATGCTGTTAAGAGGATACAATAATTTTTTAAATACTTCAAATAATTAATACACCTACCTCCGAATTGTCCTGTAATCTTTTGAGCTGTTCGGCACTCACTGATTTGAGTACAGGTCTCAAAAGATCAATAGGAACATTGCCAATATCATTCAGCACTAAAAATTCAATAAAATAATTAGATATTAAATCACCATTAAATGAAGGAAAAAAAAAACTTACTCTCAATATTTCGAATGATTGTTGAGATGCAGATATCGACAAGAGACTTTATTCTGTTTTGATCATCGGTTGCTGTAGTATCAGCAAGCGGCTTAATTTTTTGTTTGGTACTCTTCCGGCCCGCAAAATTCAAAAGCTTAGCCACTTTTGCCGCATCAACTATGAGAGAGATATATTTTAGATATTTTCAATATTTTAATAGCGAAAACCTTTCTTACCTTTGCGTGGATTTTTGAAACCAGAAACATCAGTATTTTGTAATGGCGAGGTTAATATTGAATTTTTTATAGGTTCGATGCTTGGTCTTATTGAATTTTTTCCGGATATGACCGGCTTAGGACTTTGTAAAATGTCAGATTTTTGTAATATTTTTTGTGACGTCGAAAACTCCGATTTGGATAGGATCGAGGGTGCAGATGAAGAGATGCCTGGTTTCAAATTTATAGATTTTATCCTGTTGTTAATTGTGGATGATGAACTAGCTATGCCTGTGATTGGTTTTTTCGCGACATTGAATCCAAGATTCGTTGGTTTTGTGATGGTTGCACTCCTCCGATTGTACCGACTTTCAGTATTTTTTTGGTCATCTCCTGCTGAAGTAGATGAAATATCCTTTCTAGCCTTTGTACTCGATACCGACAAATTTGAGGTTGACGCTGTGATAACAAGATTAGCTCGTTATCTATTGAAAATTCTTAATTGTCCATCTTTCAATGTTAAAACTAAATTTATTACCTTCCTTCTCGTGTGGTTGAATTTTTCGCACTTTATGTTTGGCCAAAAAGGCTTCTCTGTCAAAAGGTTTTCTGCTTTTACTGCTTGTTTCTGGAGTCTCTATAAAATAGGAAAAGTATTACCAATAAAAAGAAATTAAAATAAATGACCTATTGATGCCAAATTTCGTGAAATTTTACAATATTATTCCGTTTTCTAAAATAGATTATTACGACTCTTTTTAGTGCTAAAAGTGTAACAAAAGAATCATTTCTCAAATCATTCTTCGCGATTTGAATTTCCATAATTTACCAACAAAAATTTCGACTTGTCTCAGTTGTATTTTTAACTTTGTGTGTCTCTTAAGTTTTTACGTTTCCTTTCATGATTTTTATTTCATAGAAATAATAAAAAACACGAAAGGTAAGAGACTTGTGATGAATCAAATCATTCTTTATATAGTCACCTTTGACCATAATGAGATAATAGAGTTCTTGAAAGCTTTTAAAAAAATTGAGGTAAAATAATAATCTGTATTTCTTGTTGTAATGGTGAAGAATTAAAATTCCTGCCGTATCACACTACCGTATGTCTGTACCTGCATGAAAATTAAATCATTCTCGAAATACAAATTTTTGCAATTGTAATCCTTCGAAACATATCTTTGCTAAAGAAAAATGAGCAACCAAACAACGGCAGAACGAATAACACGAATAGGACAAGAAAATCGACGATTACGAGATGAAAATCGAAAACTGAAGCAAGAAAATGAAAAACTACAAAAGAAATTGGATGACACGAAAAAAGCATTTAATGCAATAGAAAAGGAATTGGTTGACGCGAAAGAAGCATTGAATGCAATAGAAAACGAAAAGGAATTGGTTGACGCGAAAGAAGCATTGAATGCAATAGAAAACGAAAAGGAATTGGGTAATGCGAAAACAAATGAGGTAATCTAAAGTATTCAACGTCTAATGATAAACTTTTCAAACATCTGATAGGAAAAGAATCGAAAAAAAAGAACAAGAACAGGTTTGACAGATTATAGTTTTTAGAGAAATACAATTTTTTGTACTAATATTTTAATTGCATAGTATACATGACTTTTATTTATAGTGTATACAGTCAACTCTTTCTTCAGCTTAATAATTAATATAAATTATTTATAATCAACTGGTCATGGCATTTTAAATATTCCAAGTTAATTTAAAAGATTTTTTGCACCATTTTCTCGAGCGTTTTTTTCACACACTTGTCTACAAATTGGGGAAACGCTAAGTCATATTTTTGGGACGGAAAGAAAATATTACACTACGCTAATTTTCAAATATTTATATTGCGACTTGCTCCTAAAGTTTTTTTGATGGGACATATAAACACATAAAAAGGGAAATTTGTTCACAGCTCAGATGTGGGTACGAATGAGATTTTAAATAAGAGGGAATATAAAACAAGGGAAATATAATCCAGTATTATATAACGCAGAGATTACATAAAAGCGATTGTAGATATTAATATTAAAATTATAGTCTGAATGGATAACATAGTAACTAGTTAAATAATATATGGTGGATTACTATATACGTAGATAAAGATATTTATACTAATTCTTCCAGGATTCTTTTTTGTTGCAGCAAAACATTATCATCATCACCACTATTATGACCATCCTACTCCCCAAACCTTTCCTTTTGATGCCAAATACCCGGATGAGATGAATTATTTCGTTATATCATTGTAACTTGGTGGTAAGTCGTTAGCAGGCAACGTAGATGATGATGATGATGATATGGAATTCTGTTGAGGAACGGGCGATGGAGAACACGAAACTACTTCTGTATTAGTATCAGAGGTTTGTGCTATGAGATTATTGTTTCCGTTTTCATTGTTATTATTATTATTATCAATGTTATAAGGATTTATTAAAACTGGTTCAGGTATTGTTGCCGTTGGAATTGGTGTGATAAAAGGGTTTGGTGACGGCACTAACAAAATCGCATTTGAAGGAATGCTGGTGGTGGTTGTTGCATTTTCAGAAGTTTCGCGTGGTGTGTATACAGGTAATTGTTCATAAGTCTCGGGCGCAATATTGCTTTCGTGTTCTAACAATAATAGTATATTATATTATTGACCCATAAAAATTATTAAATAGAGACTAGATTTCTTTCTTCTTACCTGCCATCCGTTGTATTATTTGACTATATATACTACTGAATTCAAATCCACCTATAAACAATCAAAAAATATATATATTATTTTTAGATTTTAATAAAGAAATAATAATAAATTAATTAATTAATTAATTAATAAATGCATACCTCCTTCTTTGAAGGTAATTTTTATAGTTCCAGGAGCGGACATTCCACCATTTGGAACCTAATAATCAGAACAAAATCAAGAAAAGAATATTTGTTTAAAACAACTGTTAAAAGTATAGAATACATACCGGAATCACAGTAGCCGTGTAATAATTTGCACCAAGCCAAGGTTGAACAAGTTTTCCATCTCGAAGATTTTTCAATGGAATACTCAATGATTTTAAATGTTCAACAGTAGGTTTTGAAAGAAAGATCACCTAAAAACAAAGAAAACACCGCGCCATTAGAAAGGATGATTTAATAAAGCCAAATGATGATGTCGTTTTGTCTTTTACTAACTCTTTGATTTGTAATGTGTATGACTCCTTCAGCCTTAAGTTGACCTCCGTTTCCAGGATACCCACTAAAAAATCAACGGTAAATTACTCTTAACAATTGAATTTTTAAACAATTGAGAAATAACAAAACAGTAAATTTAGATTATCAAAGTACTTACGACCCAAATTCTAGAACAAGCGAAACCTTCTTCTTACTAATATATA